TTAGTAGTGCGGGGGTGGGTGGGGGGGTAAAAGATAAACCCTACGGAAAGTGTACCGTGCAAAATTTACCTCTCGATATGTCTGCTCACACAAATGGAAGTATCTACCACGATTCAATCATCTTCCTCCTCCTCCTCCTCATCATCATTATCATCATCATCATCCGTGACTATGTTTTTCCGACTTTGCTTCAATCCTTTGAAACTTCTGTTCTCTGTCAGGTGATGAAATACTGGAATGGAATTCCATTCCGCTAGTCGGAAAAACGTTCGAAGAGGTGCAATCGATTATCAGCCAAGTTTCTGAAGAAACGGAACTCTTGGTTCGGGCGTGAGTACGCACATATCTTTCATTATTGATATTTTATATCATGTTATGACATTCAAAACGGAGTGCTTGACTGATAGTGATTTTATTGCAAGAAAATTGCAAGAAAAATTTAACCTGTAACTTTAAACAGTTAATGATTGAAGCGTTTCTTCTCCGAGATTGTATTCTCACTATAAAAAGTGTCTCCCTCTATTCAGATAAGAAAGACCACATCGCAGTACTGCACGATTTATGTCAAGGGCGATTTTGCTGCATTTAAACATGATGCATATTGCAGAAAATGAGGGGTTTGTATAGGGCTTTAGTATGGCAACAGAGAAAAGTAAAATACAATAAAACAGACAAAACATAAGACGGGAGGGGTAAAAGGACTATGTGACCAGGGTAAGGACAAACTAACATAAAGCTCATTTCACTGACACAATGGGGGCTTTCATGGGTTGACAGCAATCGTTTCTGCAAATCTTACTGATAATCCGAAACGCTTCGGTGCTTCGATCGATCTGTTGTTGCGTCATCAAAAGATGTCGACCTATACCTGATGACGGGCTTTGTGGCGTGGACCGGACTTGATCTCGATTGCATCATCCAACTTTCGGGCCCAATTTGCAATATGTTTAACTATTTCCATCTAATAGAAAATTTCAATATCATGGATTTGGTTTATATTTTGTCAAACTAGGCAAACACATTTGATTCGTTATTTCAAAAGTTGGAAAAAGCTTTTTTTTATCACAGTTAAAAGAAACAATTGGATTTTATACAAACATTTACCTATTTCAAATCGACAGCAATAGAGTTGCGTGAGAAAGAGAATTACGGCCCCAAAATTTGACCCCCTATAAAGCATCACACATCCTTTGCATAGAAATCAACATAGTCATTCAGCATCTCTTAGTGACCATCTCGGGCAGTTGAAAAGAGAATTTGCTCAAGCCCAGTGCACAACCGTCCTCAAATCGTTTAAACAGGACCGCTTGATCAACAATGGATATAGGTATGAACGGGCATTTACATTCTACCTCCTCCTAGCAACATCAAATTAGAACTAAACTCCAGGATTACACTGATTGGGACCGAAGTTATAGCAACCAGGATGGAGTTGCCTCACTTCTGCGCGCAGCGTCCTTCGTGTTACCATAGTCATGGAAACATACAGTCAACTGCACCCGAATAAAAAACCCTTTTTTCCACCTTCCGTTTTCCTGTGAAATAAAAAACATCGGATCGTTCATTTTTTCGAATTCACACATCTGATCGCCTTTTTGGAAATGGGGAAATGTATATTTATTTGCGCAAAAGTTCACCGCGTTTTTGAAGTATGTGTGTGCATTGCCCCAGTCACTCTTAACCAGTTCATACTACGCACCGATCCCGTAAACTGCTCCTATCTGTACACGACCTGTGGGTTGATATGTGTTGCCCCCCGGGTGGAGTGGGGGGGGGATGCCTCGGTGTACTGGATTTCTGGCAAAGGTGAATTCCCACCCCTACCCCCACCCCTACCTCCCGTTGCTCGTGCATGGTCAGATACCTTCCCGGTTCGTTTGCTTATGTTTACTCTTAAAGATGCAAAATAAAATTTAATTATCCGTTTAGGTTTTGCTTGTTAAACTGGGGCCGTTGTATCCCAGATAACTGAATACAAGAAAACTTCACACGCTTACTTACCGATGAAAGTTGACTTATTCATTTCTTTTGTCATTGATTGATTTGACTGACTATCCTTTGGACTTCACCTTTACGCACAATCCTCAGTTCATGGATTCAACCATATACTCAGGGAAGCACTATACCCGAGTTTCACTCTTATTAGAGCTCATTAGTAGTACATATCCACCATCCCGTCCGGGATTCTTGGCGCTTCCGGTACGCTTATTGTGGAGCGTTCTGAATGATCACCGCCGACATTTAGTCTCGTTGCTGAACTCGGGATCCTGATATTTTGGATTGAATCTGGTTTGTGTGCATTAAATTTCTTCATCTCAATTTTGACATATCTTTGAAAATAAATTGATGGAAGCGTTCATTCTCCTTTTAATTAATTTTTTTCCAGAAGACATGACGGGTCAACCGAACGAGAAAGCAGTCAACCTTGGGAGATTTCGCGCACTCCTGTTGATAGCCGGTCCTCCCACGCACCAAGTAATCATTATTGATTTTATATGATTGAACAATATCCATTCATTTTTGGGAAACCCAATCTCGGCTGATTTTTAGACTAATCTCTGGAATACGTTTTTTTGTGGGCAAGATGTATTCAAAACTAGTTTTAGAGCAACGAAGATTTTTAAACCATGCCAATTCGTTATTATTGAAGAAACGGGCAATAAAATATCACGAAAAGGAGCGTTTTAAATTAATACAGGTGCTGATCTCACTCGTGCAACCTCACTCTCGTTTCGAAAATACATTTCATTTTCCCTTGTATATTGATGGCTTTGGGTGAAGTGTATTTATTCCTGACTTTATCTTCCAATCCTATGTTCTTAGTTCTCTTCCATCGCCGTTTGAATTTGCGTGACCTGAGTGTCGCGATACNACAACTTGTAGTAATGGTTCGAAAGTTACAGCTAAGGTTCGGAAGATATTTCATTCAAAGCAGCATGGAACGCCATTCTTTCTGGTGAATGATTCCTGTTTCATGAGACTGTTTATTAGGTTGAACACACCTGTTCTAAATAGCTAATCCGTTTTCATTCAATGCATTCACGAAAGTCACAGTTTTCACATGTGAAGGTAATTATAATTTCTCGCTTAAGGTTGATGGTAGAAAACGGTTAGATCTCATGAAATATTATTTTCTCACATTTATGATCTTTCTTCGGGGGGTGGGGGTCAAACCTAGTGTTGAATTCATTCAATTGCCGCCCAGAAGTTGGGATTTGAATGCAATCACAAAATGTCTGTGCGTTAGAAACAGGAATAAGTTAGCTTAGTTGCCTCGAAATTGGTCGTCAGTAGTTATGGTGCGACATGTATTGGAAGAAACAGGCACGTCCTGTTAACCAGTCCACTTGGTGGACTCCATGCAAAAGCGACTACCTCCAGTGCTCAAAAATGATGAAGGACAATTAGAACATGAACGAGATGAAAGTACATTACACCTATCAAGTCGGTGGGCCACTTGGATAAACACATGCCATTTGTGTTTCTTACTGTGGCTTTGTTATTTTCAACTCATGCATCAGCATCCATCGTCATGATTAAGAAATCGTGGATATTTCTACAGATATGTTGCTTTTGTTCTGGGACACTATCATAACCAACCCCATGAATGAGGCTAGAAACACAGCGTTGAGAGGGACAAGTATGATGAAAGTGTCGGGGTGTTGCACGAGTTTGATCAATACCTGTACATATTTCGTTTCGACACTGTTTTGGAAACAAATTTTGCCAATAGAACTCAATATATGTTGTTGTCATTCTTTACTTGAGCTAATATTTACTTATTACACATTAGAAGAGTAAAATATACTAAATAGTATTCCGCTTGCCGTGATAAATTTTGTGGAATTTTCTAGAATTTGGATTTACACTTTCCATGGTTCACATTTAGCTGTTTTAAGAATAAACCGGGATGAACGGCTTCCAGTTAGTTTCATCATCTTGTCTGTGTTTTTCCAGTTAAATTACCCCTTCATTATTATTCCGAGATAAACTGTCAACTTTGTCCTTAAATTTATCATTCAATTTTAGAACGCGTAGATGCTCTGTGTCACCATCACGCGGCTCAACAAGCGCTGATCGGTATCCAGTCTCGTTCTATGTGCCCGCACATGCAACGTCATTATTTATCAATGTCACCCAGTGAGATTCGTCAATCCCCGATTGGTTTGCAATCATCCACCCGAACACGTTCCAGCCCCACCGGGTCCGATTCGAACAGTTCAAACGCACGCAAATCGTCCACCGGACAAGCATTGTGGATGGGCGGACCGGATCCGGGGACACGAGAGTCTCCGGTTTCGCACACGCGAACCCATCCCTACTCGCCTCCACACGCGTCTCGCGCTTCCGAATCACGTGATCTCGAGGATTTTGATGTGGACGACTCGAGACCGTTTGATCATCAATCGCAATCAACAAACAGTTATAAACGCGAGAGAAGTGGATCGTTTAAGGTAGGCAAAATCCAATGAATATCGATCGAATCGATGCGGACTGAGAATTTGTTGAAAACTGCGCATTGAAAAACGAATCACTAGGTATTATTTTTGAATAAAATGCATATATGCTGTCAAGCTGTCAAAAAGTGGTATGTATTTATTTTAGGAAATTTGTCTGAGGTGAAAAAGTACATTTATTAGGGAGCCGGTTTTAAATGTTGAGTAAGGAGTTTGCTGTCAAAGTGTGAACTTGTTGTTGAATGGTTCTAAATAAAATTTCAGTCAGAAACTAATTACGGCTGATTGTTATTCCGCCCAATTACACGAAGCGATACTTCGTAAAAGTTGCAATTTTTCACAGAAACTGGGGTTTGTTTCACTTCACTCGGTTTCCCCGTTCACAGCGATGATTAGTCCAGAACTAAACAAAGATTTAAGTGCTGGGGACAAATGATGATCATGTTTATTTAATCAGGCAAGTATTTTTGTTTTCTCTATCTCTCAAATCCACCTAAATAGAAAACAACACAAATTTCCAGTTATGAATGAAGCTGTTACGCATATAAAATTCACGCGTTTCGTTCTGGATTAATGCCTTGGATAGGGTACAACCCCCCCCTCCTCCTTCCCTCCCTCCCCGTCTTAAAACCTGTCACAGATTAAGGTCGATGAAGGCCAGTAGTGCATCACTGGAGTGCAATTAAGCTCGCTGGATTACAAGCGATGGAAACCAGAACAGTTAACTCACGACTTATTTTCCATAAACCCTGTGAACGAACTCATGGAAATAAAAGTTGCATATGACAACTACAATGTGTCAAAGTGTTATTTGACATACAAACACATCCATGCCAAAGCCCGGGACCCTTTTGTAATGTTCAGTAGGTCCAAAACAAAATCAAAAAAGAATTCTTACTTGCTATTTAATTACTTTAAATCAAAACCCTATGAATTATGATGGACTGAAAATGTTTTTTGTCTTAGTCACACATAATAATTTATCCATTTAGCATAAATATTCAATGACATCAGGATTAAATTAAATTAAATTAAATCAGGATAAAATCTGCTTCACTAGCTTCTTTATTTTTCTAAGTTTATTCTTATTTGTTGTTGTTGTTGTTGCTGTTGTTGTTGTTGAGTCACTGAACTTTGATCAAATGTTCGCTAATGACCCAAACTCAGGTGGCGCGTTCTTGATTATTTATTTTCAAATAACCATTTAAATGATCATCAAATGCTCTAAGCTACCATACTCATATGAATCTCAGAGCTTACTTTCTAGACCTAAATAATCAATATTATGTTTTTTTCAATAATTTATACTACATAATAATTACCATAAAATCACAAAAAATAAGTTCTGTAGTCGAATTCACCAAAGTAAGACTAATCTGGTGCGGGAGAACTATCTCAAAATTATAGAGTATCGATTCTTTGCGGTTAGCTTTTTTGCTAAAATCACTCTTTGAGATGAAACTGAAGATACTTCTGTGGTATAATTCACTTGAAGACGGCAAGCGAAAAAAAAACAAATCGATAAAGGCATACTGATAAGCAGCAAGCACAGGGGACGAAACCGGTACTATGTTGATGGTAATTTTCGTCCGCTATATGCATACTGCTTAATACGAAAAGCTAAGTTTTTGACCAAAGTTTCTCAACCGATCCAATTTGTAGTCTCATGTAATTCGGTATTAAAAACCTGTTCTCCTGATACCTATTCTATTTTATGCAAATCCCTAATGGTCAACGTAAGCAATGGGAATTACTGTACTATTTATCTCGTCTGTGCGGATGCCATCCAGCCATCTCATGGCAAAATACTCCCTCACCGGCCCAGACCAGTTATCCTATCATGCTGTTCCCGTAGGACCGGCATGACTAAAAGCCTGGTAGGAGAGTGGTAACATTACTGCCTGTAAGGAATATCATAGATAATGCCAGAGATATAAGAAGACTGTGAGGGTCACTGGCAAAAGAAATCAGTCAGGTTTGCAATGCAACTCGGCACAGTGATGTGCTTTTAACTAATCAACAACAGTTTGATAGAACAGAATGATTATTTCTTGTCAAACAAAAACCATTTCATATTATATACCGGTTATCCTGCGGTATTTCCTTTGTGAATAAGTTTTCTTTGGTCTATTTGCAGCATCGCAGTTCCAAATCCGAGGATGTTCTTGATGAATTTGGTGAAATAGAGGCAAGTTATGGAAATTTCTTGTTGCATTTTATGCTTGTAGCTTGCCTACACAGTGTTATTAACAGATGAAAGAGAATTGATTGATACAAGAATGACAAGAGCAGTAGTTGAGTAGGTCGAAACTATTGATCTCAAACAACACAATCACCGTTTTGATGAAAGGTACTAGAACCAAAAGTTCGCAGGTCTGTGTGTATCTTTTGTTGTTACACTAACAAATTCTCCTCTAGGATTTCCAGTTCAATTTTGAATATTATCATAATAGGCTATCCATGTGTTATCATACTACTCACATAATATGAGTAGCATCTAAACGCTTTGACTGCCACAAATGTGGATATGAGTAGACTCACTATCTACTATGTTTTGCATCCTTCAAATACTAACTGGTTAGTTTTCCGCAGTTGCAGAACTCACCGTGATAGTTAACCCCTAATCAAGTCACGGGTCTTTCTAAACCCTATTTCGGCAGCTAATCCTCACGTTTGACGACTACGATCAGAGCTTGACGGTGCACGTATCTCGAGCGAGAGATCTGCCATCCATGGATCTGAATGGACTTGCAGATCCCTTCGTGAAGGTTCGATTGCATCCGGATCCAACCGAAGAGTATGTTGTCGCATATCTTTCGCTAGATATTTTCATTCGTGACTAAATTCAGAATGTGGTAACTAGAGTAGCCGGAACAATGAGAATATATACGCAATTCGTGTAGGATTTTAAAACTTTTTTAATTAGATAAAATGAATCAATTATATTATTTAAAACCGGAAACAAGCAAAACAAATTAAATAATCTGAACATTTCACGGTAATCTTTGACACCTTTGAGAGAATAGTTGTACAACCTCAAGGGCAGTAGTGGTCCGTGTTGTTCGTCTTGTTAGCTGCACCAATTATCACCGTCGAATAACAATCCGACCGACTGATTGTTCAATTTTCTCCCCAATAAACACTTTCATTTTCTTCCTTTCTTTCAATCGACAATACAGCCCAGACTTCAATCGACAAACAAAATATATGCCAAATACTCTAACCCCGGAGTGGCAACAGACGGTAGTGTTCATGAATTGTTTCAAACGCACCCTAAAACGTCGCGTCCTGGAGGTGACCGTTTGGGACTTTGACCGATTGAAGACTAACGATTTTATGGGACAAACACTGATCAACTTGGGTGGTAAGTGGTGTTGACCTCATTCACGTCATCCTCTCCATTCAGTCCTCCCGGCTGGACCGCAGTAAATGTTTATTTTTGTAAACCCTGGTTGGCCGCTCAGAGAACGGTCCCGTTGTACAACATTCACTTGACCTCGGTATGTGTGTGTGTGTGTGTGTGTGTGTGTGTGTGTGTGTGTGTGTG